GTTTTGTCCACCCTTTCAGAAAAGCCACCTATTCCTTATTGTTCCTGCAAAACGACAAGTGGCACGATCACGGTAGAGAAGGGAGTAAGGAAACCACTGAGCTCTGCAGTCACTAACGGGGGTTACCTCTGCTTTCTGGTGGCTCCAGGAGATTCAGCTGCAGTCCGGGCCGAGGGCCAGCACGGAGTTCCTGGGCGGCCTGGCCATCGACATCTCTGGAGGGATGGAGTTCAGCCTGTGGTACAGAGAATCCAAAACCAACGTCAAGAACCGGTGAGATACTCCCAGCGCGCGATAGAGCCATAGAGAGCTGACTCTTGAACCCCAGTAGTCCCAATCAGAAAAAATTAAATATAAAAGACCTTGCAGATGAGTTAAATACCTTACATGCATGGGAGAACACTTGTACTTCTTTCCTTCTGGGTAATACCAGTTCCCACTGGTCTCATCTGAATTTATATATCTCTTCCTGAATAACAGGCTTCTTTGAGGGCAGTTGATTTGTATGGGTGGTAGGACTGTTTGCCATTTAATTTCCTTTTTCTTAACGTGTTTTGAATTAATTGTAACATCTGAATTTATTTGCAGGATAGCCATGTTTATAGCTGGTAACACCGAGGTGGATTCCTTCTTTATGAAAACTGGTATGGAAACCACTTTGGAAGTAGAAACGGCCTTAGACTTCATCTCCACAGTGCAGTTTTCACAGTACCCGTTTTTGGTCTGTATGCAGATGGACAAAGTCGAGTCTCCGTTCAGGTAAGATCTAAGAGCACACAATTTCTGAGGTGTCCTTCCAGCCAGCTGCTGAATCTGGAGCTTTTGGTGTTCACAGCCACTAGAAATTAACAACAGAGGCCACATTTCAGCCTAACACTGTCAGGTGCAGCAGAGACTCTTACACACACCAGTCCCTCTGCTAACCCATGCTTCCCAGTCTCTCACCCCTGAGATTCAGAAAGGACTTTTTGAAGATCACAACTTGCTCTGCATGTGCATTTTAGTCTAATTTTCTAATATGGTTTTGCAAGTAAACTGACTGAAGTGACAGGACATTGGTCCCCTTGTGCACGATCAGTTCTGATGGTGACCTGAAACTCTTCCAGCAGTAGTTCTTTATCACACTGTTGAGAGAGTAAGTGCATTACCATCAACTAGCTGAAATGGAAAGTTTTCTTCATCATCTGCTATTTACTAGTGTCAACAAAAGGACCTGGTGTGTTAAGCTCTTGCAACCCTTGTGTTCTATCATGTTTTATTAAGGCACCAACTTTCCTGAAAACTAAACAACTGCGCAATAGGGTAAAAAAGATGCTTTCCAGTAGCCAATTGCACTGCTGTCTGAGAAGCTGAGTTTACTAATCTCTCCTAATCCCGATTTGCTAAGACCTAAGGGTGATAACATTTGCAGAGCCCGTGCCAGATTTCCATTCAGGCTTTTCTGATCCAATAGATGGGAAGCCTGAGAGGAATTAAAGAACTAAAGGATCTCCAGGGAATCTTAAGAAAACAGTATCTGTTATTCTGCGGATATTAAAACATCTTCTGATTATACTTGCACATTGTGGAAGTGCAATCTCCTCTGTATGTGAAGTGTTTAGCTTCACATACAGGGTACAGATTTTGCATAAATTTGCTAATGCACCATGTTCTGTCTTCACAGGCGTTACGTGACCAAGTATGAAAGCCTCCCGTCTGGCAGGCGGTACACTGCAAAGAGAGGGAAGGCAGAACTGTTGGCAGGGAATGAATTCCCTCTCCACCAAGAAAACTCCAACATGTGCAGGAAAGTTTTCGGCGCAAAGTCCGATTCCTCCAGCGGCTGGTTTTGAAGCGAGCACCTGAGCTTTTGCTTCCCTGAATCCGCGGCTCCCTCACTGACTTAGGCTTGCACGTACCCTACCAACTCGGAGCTTGATCTTGCACTTCTGCAGTTAATGGGAAATTTGCCATTGATTTCAACAGGCCAGGATCAAACTCTCAGTGCGTGCACAGTGTTTACATATTAACCTATATTTAAGACTTTTGTAAAAAGAAAAAAGCTAAGGCAAATAAAGTCCGATTTGGTAGTATTCCATGCACTCCCTTAAGGGTGGTGCTAGTTCTTTCTTTTTACTTTTTCATGCCAAAACCAAAAATAACCCCTCATTTTTATTTCTTGGGGAATACAGAAGTCCATGTCTCTGACATGCAGTAAGAACAATTATGATATGTAAAGAACAATTATTTATGGGTATATTTTAAAGTATTTAGGTGTTTTAGGCCTATGACCAATCCTCATTCAAATATTCAAGTACAATTAACATCTAAACGGGACCATGAATTCCTGCTTACTCAGTATTGCCTGTTTACAAAGAAGCAGGTTTTGTTTTATATGATTTTAAAGGATTTTCCCTTTTTTTAAAGCAGACAGAGCCTGATTGTTATTATTATTTATCTTTTGGGGTTTTTTATTAGCTGCTGTAGTTAAATACAATTGATTAAAAATGTGGGGTCACATTTCCAGAAATACTTACAGTTGCCTTAATTCTGTTCCCGTTGAAATCAATGGTATAATTTCCATAGTTATCACCAGGAGCAGAGTTAAGCCAACACCGGTTGCTCTTCAAGGTTGCCTCCCAAAAATTTGTGTCCCTGTGTGCAATCAAGGCAGTTATATTTCAAAAAGGAGCACCCACTAAGGCAATTCTGAACTATGATGAAGGAAAAAGTGCTGAAAGAAATCCATTTTGAATACACAGTCTCACAAAGCATGTGCAGAGCCAGAACATTTTCTTCTAGGTAAGTTAGGCTCATATTTCAATGCCAAAAAGTAATCACTACTCATACAAGTCCTCCAATTAAAATGACTTACACCTTTTTGCTTGTTCAAGAGGTGTCTTCACAGGAACTGTGTAAAAAAAAAAAAAAAAACACACAAAAAAAAATGTTTTACATTTACAACAGCATTGCAGATTAAGAAAGAATATACCTCATCCCAGCTCAGCTGATCTCTGACATGATCCATCTGATTTAATTTTTAAAGGACAAGGTGGGTGAGTGCTGGTCACAAAAAAAGTAAAATAAAAAGTCAGGAACAATTGTTTTTTAAAAAAAACAGGCAGGAAAAACTCATAGATCATAAAGAAAAATATGTATTACTATAATACCAGGAACAATTGTTTTTTTTTAAAAAAAAAAAACAGGCAAGAAAAACTCATAGATCATCATAAAGAAAAATATGTATTACTATAATAAAAAAAATTTCCAAATTATTTTATGTTGTAAAAAAACAAGAGTGCAGAAATCTGCAAAAATCAAACTATAAATGGGATGAAACAGTCTGCTTGTTGTCTTTCCTGAAAATGCTGACACACTTCTAGTCAAAGAATAAATAAAACAGGTAAAAATACAGTGTGAAAATATCATTTTGTTTTCAGTCTTGTTTTTTGTCCATTGCTCTATGGGTTGTGAAAGCCTCTCATTGAATAGTGTTGGTGGGGACAAGAGGAATCCTGTAGATCATCATAAAGAAAAATATGTATTACTATAATAAAAAAAATTTCCAAATTATTTTATGTTGTAAAAAAACAAGAGTGCAGAAATCTGCAAAAATCAAACTATAAATGGGATGAAACAGTCTGCTTGTTGTCTTTCCTGAAAATGCTGACACACTTCTAGTCAAAGAATAAATAAAACAGGTAAAAATACAGTGTGAAAATATCATTTTGTTTTCAGTCTTGTTTTTTGTCCATTGCTCTATGGGTTGTGAAAGCCTCTCATTGAATAGTGTTGGTGGGGACAAGAGGAATCCTTTCATTCACCACGACAGAGGAACCAGTAACGTAAGCTGGACACCCACTTGTCCTGGGCTCCCCTCTAGTCAGGAGATGAGGTATCTCCAGAAGGTGGTGTAGACCCCAAAGCAGGGTGCACCACGTGCTGGAGGTACCTGCCCAAATCCTCTGCCCAGGTGTCCCTCTCCAGTGTCGACACTTACCAGAGTAAGTGATGTAAGGCCAAAGTGACACGAACACAGCTGGCAGTGTCACCACCCTGTAAAATAACATGGCCAACACTGCCAGCAAACCTGCTCCCGATCCTCAACTTTAAACTCCCTCTTTCACCCCTCTGCTGAAAATTTTAGGCAACATCCCATGCCCAGGCATTCCTCCTATCTCCACAAGGGGCAGTTCCTCCTTCCTCCCTTCCAAACCTCCTCAGTCCTCCTCCTTTCAGCAAGGCTCCCTCAAAGCTGTCTCCTCCTCTCAATATTGAAGTCTATATCGAAGCTGAATCTATATCAAAGTCAGTATTGAAGTCAATATCTTCCCCTCACACTCTGTACCCTCTATTTTGCAGACACTATTTGATTCCTCTGCTACTGTTTTAGGAACTGGAACTGAAAACAAGCTTTTACATTTGTTATTACTGCTTGCTATTTCTGTCATACAAACCAAAAATAAGATCAGAGCTAAGTATTCACACACCTAGAAAGAGGCAGTCTCCTCCTACAGTGATCTGACACCCTAAGTATAGAAGGTAGACAAAGAGTGGCACAAAGAAGTAGCCATCAATCATCACTATTTCACTTGGAGAGAATTGAAATATCAACAGATGACAATCTCAGCTCCACATCCTAATCTGCATCAACAGTCTGCCTGGCTCGCCCGTGACTTCACAACCCAAAACCAGAATAAAAAGGTTCTAGATAATGCAATTTGTATCTATATGATCTGTGTCTAACATCAGCAATCCCACTGCGAAGCTTACCCCCTCGCAAATTTATCAAATCTAAGAACCTTCTGGATGTGTGCTTGTAAAACAGGGCACTTCTGGGGCTTCCACAGCTTGGGCAACATCCCCTGAAACTAAATCAAAGAGAGCCTCTGAGGCCCACGTGGCTCCTTCAGAAGTGACACTTGTCCTCCTGGATGTCCCCCGGTACCGCGGCAATACACTTGCTCCCGGAGCTATCTGACCCTAACAGCTGGGCATAATGGGGATTCCAGAGGGGGTTTAGTCCAACAGCTGGGCAATGGGAGGCCACGACTTCCTTACCAGGGCTCCATAGCTACGGAAACAACAAAACTGACAATACTCTAAAAATAAGGTGAAATTAATACATTGCCTAAGCCTGCATTTGAAGTGAAAACACACTTAGGGCTACAACCAAAGCAAACACCAGGAGCATTTATCAAATCGGGGGCGTTGATCACAAATATGCATCGTACATCTTTAATAATGGCTATTGTGTGTACCTTTAAATAATCATTCAGGGTAGCAATTAAACAAGAATTCACACATGAAGTTTAGAGAAGTAAACAAATGCCCAGTCCTTTCTAATTGGGAGCCCCAAAAAGAACAGGGCGATGATAATTCAGCCAAGTCCAAAACGCAACACACTCGCAAAAGAGATTTTGAGACTTTCCTATTAAAGCTTCAAGGAGGGCTAATTTTTAAAGAGTATTTCTCATATACTCTTAAAAAAAAATAATTAAAATTCCAGGATTCAGTTTCTCACTGAAGTCCCAAACATATTCTGGTGCAGAAGGCATAGGGAAATACAAAGATCCATGGTCTGGAAGGCAGATGGGCTCATGAGGGTATGAATTAAGCTATCAGTGCAGTACAGGGTAGCAGATATAAGGACTAAACATCATTATTTTTGTAATGCTTGACCCTAAATAACTGCTGGCAAAATGCATTCTTTCCTACCAATAATGGATGTCAACCAGAGCTGCAGGGGTGCAAATCAGCATGATCTCAGAACGGCCTGCAACCACGCTGGAAATAGCTGCCTTTCCCTTGTTAGTGGGAACAAGATCATAATTTTAATCATTTTACTTTTAATAAAATTAGTTGATACTTGATGTGAAAGGTGATAGGCTTAACCCACATGCAACAACCTGTAAAATCTATCCCAGATTTCCAATGAATACATGCTACTTATAGAGGCAGCTCTGATTTACTGAGAACGTCTGGTGGAGAATTTTCCTGGCTACACAGTGTAGAACCTCAGTCTCTAAGGACAGATACATTTAGGAGTTCCAAGGCCATATAACGCATGCTCCAATTGGACATCAGAACACAAGAGGATTTGATAAAAATAGCAAAATACACAGAAGCCCTGGTTGAGCAAGGTTTTTAACCGCATTTTCAACCTGAACTGTGTGCCTTGCCCAGCAGAGGTCAATGGAAAGCAAGGCAGTGGCAGAGCTGGGCTGGCAGGCAATATTCTGCAGCCTCAGGTTCAAATTTGGCAACCAGATGATAGGTACCTCAAAAATAAAACAGCTGGCTAGACTGGAGATACAGTTTAGGTTTGGCAAGCAGATCACCTGTTCTCAACAGCAAGCAATCCAAGATGACAGCAATTCGAAAATGGGTGCTTTTTTTTTTCTTTCCTTTTTTTATTATTATTTTTTTTTTTAAAGTGCTTTGTTTCATCCGGGATGGCTTGCTTAGATCTGCCATCATGGCAATTATCTGCTTCTCATTTTGCTTTGTTCCTGCTCCTCCTGACAAAAAGTGATGCACTTCTACCTTTTGGTCTTGTCATTCCTACCAGTGATGCTTTAAAGACTATTTAAAAACTCGTAAGATTTTCTTCACCAATCCTTGAAAATCCCCCCAAATCCCATACATCTCTCACCTGACTTTTCATTTTAATTCAAGGCATCCTAAGAAAGGCTCTCATTTTAATTTCAGTGGATTCTTATAGCGTGAGACACATTGCTGTTGGAAAAACACTGGCTGCAAAAGTAAGCCCATTAGGGAAAGGTTAGAGTTCGTGTCCCTCAGCATATTTAATTTTGACCTCTCTTTTGTAGAGATGCAAGCTTAAAAGGTCCATATATGGTGAGAAATAGCAGTGAAGAGCTCGTTACAGAGGTCCACTCAAATCAGGCTCCAGGAGCTCTTCTTGGAGAAAAGTAAAGGATCAGTTTCCAAATTTTCCTGCTCAGAGAGAGAGAGAACATTATAAACACCAAACCACTCCTTTGTCAGTAAACTTGGGCTTCCAGCAAGGTAGGAAGACCTTGTGGCCATGTCTTGGAATGATATGGAAAATTCACAGTAGATGTCTTCATACTGTGTTATTTGCAGATATATTTATCTGCAAGGTATATGAGGTGGGAATCTCTTTTCCTTTAAACATCCAGGGCACACGATTAAAAGGAAGACCATTATAACATACCCCTTACATATTAAAAACTGAGAAATGAAAGTGTTCTTTTAAGCTGCAAAACTAATCTTTTAGTTTTCAAGTCCATTTTGTGTTTTTTTCAGTGTTTGACTCACACTTTTTTTAAACGTGATCAGAAAACGAGCGTAGAAGGAACACAGGAAAGCAGCAAAAGGATTTTCCTAGCAATAATTCAAGCAATGATGCAATCCACTAATAAAGTGATCCTATTTTTGATCGTAGCACAATATTAGACAATGAAAATAACACAGAGGACGAGCAGAAAAAAAGTCCCCACCGATTGCTCTCTCTGAACACATTACAACAGACAAAGACGTAGTGCTTTGGATACCCAAGCCCATACACCAGTCAAAGTTAGCCCACTGAAACTGGGGAGCTCTTTTTTCATTCAAGTTATAGTTGGGGAAAAAAATAATCAAAGAAAGCCAAACGGAGCAATGCCCCCAACTTCCCTTTGTCCTAAAAGGGCAGAGTAAACTGTGAGATCAGGCCAGAAAGAGACTTACAACACTGGGACAAACCTGGGGAGACTCTGAGTGCGGGGTTTTGGATCTGCTCTCCTGTGACATCTTTTCTTCTGTTACTGTTTACACGTTGAACCAAGTAATGCCTCTGTTATCACTTGTTCTGCACAACAGCAAAGGCAACTCCACAAACATCTGACCAAGCAGGGAACTGCAGGCTAACTTGCAGTGTGCCTTTTACTGAAAAATACATTTTATTTATCATAACATTCGAAAAAAAAACAAAAACAAAAAAAAACCCCAACATGATACAAATGCTAACTCATTCAGTTACAAACTTTGGTACTCAGCGGTTTCAGACAGTCCATTCTCCCGTGGCCGTGACGTGCTGAAGCGTTCCCGAC